GGGATTTCATGGGTAGATTCCTCCTTATAGCTCTCCTCCAGGTCTGCTGTACACCTGGAGGCACAGGGTACTCTCCATTTCACATCCTGTTTGGGACATCCCCACCTGCAAGTAACACACTAAGAAGGGGTCCCTGTCAGATAGATGAGCCTAGCCTGCCCAACAGCTCCAGGCCCTAGGAAAGACTCTCCACCAGACATCTAGAGATGTTCAGGAGAGGGCTCTCCTCTCACTCCAACACCAACTGCACCCACACCAGCCCAGAGCCTCTGTATGGATTAAAAACTGGAAGGAGCCGCCATTTCAACCCACCTGTGGGGACCCCATATTGTCACATTAACCTCTCCCACTGCCATTAAAGTTGCAGGAATAGGCCCATGGATACAAGGCAGTAGATACTGAGAAATCCACCACCTGCACATCTGAAGCCAACCCCAGAAACCCACTCAGACCCACACTCCAGAGGCCACACCCAGACATTAACCTGCCAGCTCACAGGACCCAAGGAAATTAAAGCCCTGCTCCAGTCACAGACCTGAAGGCTGACTGGCCAAACCACCCTGGAAGCTTCAGGAATTTTATGGGGGATAAATGGTGACAAAGGTCACAATATCACATTGCTGGACTAGGACTGATAACATTAGTTGCCTTGCTGTTATCTATAGTTCTGACTGCACAGCCCTAAATTACTAAATTGACTGCTCTAGCCATATTTGACTTAAGTGTGATAAACTTACCAGGGGGAATCTGCTGCTTTTTGTAGTGGCTTATGTCTTACTGAATCCTGAGACAATGAGTCACAGCCCTTTTCCACTATGAACCTGTCAGAAATGCATCCCTCAGGGAGCAACAGAATGGATACATGCACTGAACCATTCCCTGTTGGTTTTTGCATCCATGAGGAACAAACCTATGCAACAGGACCACCATGCCCTCCCTGCTATGCTCCACTCCTCCTGAGGGATATGTTCCCCCACCTGTTCCTAGTCCCCCAGGTTCTGCTTCTCCAGACAAAAGGGATGACAGAATTGCCACTGTGCCTGGTACCTCTATTTACCCTGCAATGCCAAGCAAGTGTCACCTGGCAGAAAAGGGTTTTCCCTATCACAAATGTAGGAAGATATACTGGACAGGAAAAATAACAATTTGAAAATATTGGGGATTCTCAGACCAGGACTGCCCCAAGGTTTCAGGCCCCACTTGCTGGGAAACCGAACTAGCCACTGATCCCTATCTAGACTCAAATCAAGTAAGACATGATTTAGACCCTCAGCTCTATCAGATGCTAAACAAAACTTCCCCCCTTCTCAATGATCTAAACCCCCATGTAGGAAAAGACTGCTGGCACTGCTTACCCCTGAAGGCTCCCCAGTACCTGGCCACATCAGCACCCCTAATGAAATTGACCAGCAAAGGCCCTGTCCAGAACTCTTCTTTAAGAAGGACTATTATGCATGGAGTGGTATTGTCTCAACAATTACCAAATACATATTCACAATATTGACACTTTCAGTTTATGGACATGCTGAAGTTGAATTTATTGTAGATATCTTAATATCACTTAATTTTTGCTTTAGCTTTTGTTTCAATTTCAGAATTTTTGCTATATTTTCATTCATAGTTTTGTTAGGTTAGCCTTTATTGATGTTTTTGATATTTTAAGGCTATTTTTTAAAATTTCTTTTTCTGATTTTGCTAAAATATGAACATATATGTACATGTTTTTAAAAAAGCCAGCCTTATAACCAGTTACCTTGCTAAATTCATGTCTTAATTATGATAATTTGTTCACTCTTTTGGACTTTCTATGTTTCAGATTGTACTTTATCACAGATAGCCTGTGTACACACAGAAATCACTGTTAATAATATCCATTATTATCTTCATACATTTTTTTCCTTCATTGCACTGGCTAGGATCTCCAGAAGTGGAGATAATAGACACTTTTGCATTTTTGCATTTTTTTTTCAAATTAAAGGAAAATGAATCATTTTATCATTAGTATGAGATGAGGTAAACTTCAGATAATGTCTATCACATTTTAAAAATTCCTTCAAATCCTAGTTTTCTGAGATTTATTATCATGGAGGTTGTTGAATTTCATTGAATACTTGTTCTGCAACTCTAAGAATGATTTTTCTCATTCTGTTACTGAGACTGACTTCTATGCATTGATTTTTTAAATTTCCTTAAATTGTGGTGAATGCATATAACATTAATTTTGCCACTTAACTGTTACTTTTATACAATTCAGTGCTGTTAATGACATTAATAGTATTGTTAACCACTCCCATCCATGCCCAGAACTCTTTTCATCTTGCAAAGCCAAAACCCATCACTCATTAGATAACATCATTCGCTATCTCCATCCCACTTCCCAGCCCCTGGAGATAACCATTCTATTTTCTTTCTTCACAATTTGAATAACTTAGCTACCTAATGTAAGGAGAACCAGACACTTTTTGTCGATGTGAATTTATTTTTACGCTAGTGGAACTGGACACAGGGGCAATCGCCATTGAGCTACAACTCTAGCCCTTTTTTAAACATTGAGTCAGGGTTTCTTTCATATACCTGAGGATGGCCTCCAACTTTCAATCCCCCTGCCTCTGCCACTCAAGTGTATGCACACCACTATGACCAGCTATGTGGACATATTTTTGGATGATAAAACAACATGGCATTCTTGGATTAGATTCCACTCAGACATTGTATGTTACCTTTTTAATATACTTTAGAATAAGATTTGTCAAATTTTAAATTTTTATATACGGTTTTATGTCTCTCCATAATTTCTGTGTGTTTGCTTTTTTATTTTTTGGTTTTTTATTAATTTTTTTAAAAAATAAATGACAGCGGAATGCATTACAATTCTTATTACATGTATACAGCACAGTTTTTCATATCTCTGATTGTATATAAAGTAGGTTGGCACCAATTTGTGTCATCATACATGTACTTTGGGTGATAATATCTATCACATTCCACCATCCTTGCTAATCCTCTGCCCCTCCCTTTCCCTCCTACCCCTCTGCCCTATCTAGAATTCATCTATTCTGTCCATGTTACCCTTCCATACCCCACTATGTGTCAGCCTCTTTATACCAGAGAAAATATTCGACATTTGTTTTTTGGGGATTGGCTAACTTCACTTAGCATTATCTTCTCCAATGACAGCCATTTACCTGCAAAGCCCATGATTTTCTTTTTTGTTGCTGAGTAAAATTTCATTGTGTATATATGCCATATTTTTTATCCATTCATCCACTGAAGGGAATCTAGGTTGGCTCCACAGTTTAGCTATTGTGAATTGTGCTGCTATAAACATTGATGTGGCTGTGTCCCTGTAGTATGCTGTTTTTAAGTCCTTTGGGTATAGTCCGAGGAGAGGGATAGCTGGGTCAAATCATGACTCCATTCCCAGATTTCCAAGGAATCTCCATACTGCTTTCCATATTGGCTTCACCAATTTGCAGTCCCACCAGCAGTGTATGAGTGTACCTTTTCCCCCACATCCTGCCAACACTTATCATTTGTCTTCATAATAGCTACCATTCTGACTGGAGTGAAATGATCTTAAGAGTAGTTTTGATTTGCATTTTTCTAATTGCTAGAGATGATGAGCATTTTTCATATATTTGTTGACTGATTGTGTATCCTCTTCTGAGAAGTGTCTGTTCAGGTCCTTGGCCCATTTGTTGATTGGGTTATTTGTTTTTTCAATGTCTAGCTTTTTGCATTCATACTCTAGAGATTAGTGCTCTATCTGATGTGTGAGGAGTAAAGATTTGCTCCCAGGAGGTAGGCTCTCTGTTCACCTCACTGATTGTTTCTTTTGCTGAGAAGAAATTTTTAATTTGATTCCATCCCATTTATTAATTCTTGGTTTTAATTCTTGTACTATAGGAGTCTTATTAAGGAAGTTGGGACCTAATCCCACATGATGAAGTTTAGGTCCTACTTTTTCTTCTGTTAGACGCAGAGTCTCTAGTTTAATTCCTAGGTCCTTGATTCACTCTGAGTTGAGTTTTGTTCATGGTGAGAGACAGGGGTTTAATTTCATTTTGTTGCATATGGATTTCCAGTTTTCCCAGGACCATTTGTTGAATATGCTATCTTTTCTCCAATGAGGAAAACTACCCCAGTAATTTATAATAACCTCAAAAAAAATAAGACACTTGGGAATCAATCTAACGAAAGAGGTGAATGATCTATACACTGAAAACTACAGAACACTAAAGAAAGGCATCAAAGAAGACCTTAGAAGATGGAAAGATCTACTGTGCTCTTGGATAGGCAGAATTAATATTAACAACATTACCACACTAAAAAAAAAAAAAGCACTATTCTGATCAAAATCCCAATGGCATTCCTCATAGAAATAGAAAAAGCAATCATGAAATTCATCGGGAAAAATAAGAGACCCAGAATAGCTAAAGCAATCCTTAGCAGGAAGAGTGAAGCAGGTAGCATCACTATACCAGACCTTAAACTATATTACAGAACAATAGTTACAAAAACAGCATGGCATTGGCACCAAAACAGACTGGTAGACCAACGGTACAGAAGAAAGGACACAGAGAATACCCCACAAAATTACAATTATCTTATATTAGACAAATGTGCCAAAAACATGGTTTTTTAAAGAGTGGAAAGTAGAAGCTTTATTAAATGACAGCAGAAAAGACTTTTTCCCAGAGGAAGAAGGGGACCCCAAAGGTTGAATCTATGGAAGGGGAAGGTCTTCCCTCTTTTATAGCTAAGGTCTATTTTCAGCTTTCCCACATTCCTGTCCTTTGTTCTCTATTATCTTGTAGTGATGAAATGTAGGTGGGAAGGCCAAAACGGTGGGGGACAGGTGGGCTGAAGGAGTAATCTGGGCAGGAAGGGCCTGGGGCAGCTTTGATTAGCACCTCCCTGTTTTCTGGGAGCCGCTTCATTAACATTTCCTTAGGGTGGGCTCCTGGACTTGGGGACATTAACATTTCAATTTCCCCAAGTGTTGCTCTGGTTTCCTGGATTCCATTCTCAATAATGGCCTTCATTTTATTCATCTTACTCGATATTAGACCCAATTACTACACTAACTACCTATCTGTCAAAATCTGACTTCATTTCCCCCCTCTAATTTTGGGAACTCCTTACTGCTGTAAGGAAAGGGGGCGATGACCATTCTGGCTTCTTCAAGCTGAAAGGGGACGGTGTTGAGCAAGCAATTTTGGAGTCCCCCTTTTTTAAAAATCCAGTCTATCGAGTGATCCATGATAGAAGTCCGATTGAGAAGTAATAGGCTGGAGGGCCATTTGAGTGATGGGTGGTCTCGGTGTAGATGTCGGTGGGGAACTCCATTTGTTACTGTTGTTTACCAGTGACGAGTCCTCGCTTCCCAGAATGCTGAAGTATAACATCAGAGAAGCACGTTGAGGCAAGTGTAGAGTGGAAAGTAGAAGCTTTATTAAAGGACAGCAGAAAAGACTTCTCCCGGAGGAAGAAGGGGACCCAAAAGGTGGAATCCTGCTTTTTTTTTTTTTAAATTTTCAAATTTAACCAAAGGATAAAATTTCTTCATTTCTCTCAGATACCATGTAATGTTTTAATACTGTTTCCTTTAGTGCCATAGCTTTACCAGACTTTGTTTTCAGATTATAGTGGGCTCAAAAAAAGAATTGAGATTTATTTCATTTTGGGTTTTTTTTCCTCTTTTTTTGTGTTTGGTTTTGGTTCTCTGTAAAAGTTTAGGTAAGATTGATATTATTGGTATTATAGGTGACATAAATGAGCCAGTAATTTTCTTTGTAGAAAAATTTTAACTTTGAATTCAACTATTTTAACTACATAAGACTATTGACATTTTCTAGCCCTGTGTAAGATTTTTGCTTGCCTGTTTGTAATTTGTCCATATTTTATCAAATCACATAATTTGGGGCTTTAAGTAGTTCATGATATTTTATTATTGTAGTTTTAATAGCTTTGTGATTTGAGTAATAGTCCCCTTTTCAGTTCTCATACCAATAACATTTAGGTAATATTTGTGTACTCTCTTTTTGTGAGTTTAAATCTTGCCGGCACTTAATATTTTATTAATCTTTGCCAATATCAGCTGGTTTGTTTTCCATTAACTTATGTTATTTTGTTTTCTTCTATTTGGATATGATTCATAGCTCATTTTCTAGCTTCTTGGAATAAAACCATAGATTATAATAATCACAGATTTCAACATTTCTTTTTTACTAAGATTTATATTTAACACTGTATATTTCTTCATAAGTATGTATTTAGCTGAACACGATTGTTCTTGATCTCCTTCATTGAGAAATAGTTTATATATCACAAGTTGTCCCAATTTAACCTCATATTTTGGTGAGTTTTGGCAAATTTATACACCTGTATAACCATCACCAAAACCCAAGCATAGAACATTTTTATCATCCACAATCATTTCTTATGCTTTCCAGACAATTATTCCAATTCTGTCTCTAAGGAACCAGAAATCTGACCCTTGTCAATATAGATCAGGATTTTCTTCTCTAGGCTTTCATACAAATGGAATTATCCAGGTTTCATTTCCTGATTCTACCTTCTTTCAGACACCAGTTTTGGGATTAATTCCTGGACTATATGTCAGTATTTCATTCTCTTTTATTGCTAAATAGCATCCTATCACTATAACACCACAATTTATTCACCCGTTGGTAGAAATTTCAATTATTTTCAGTTTGAGGTTATTATGAATAAGTCTTCTATGAATATAGACCTTTACTTTTATATTGCATAAATTTTAAGGTTTGGAACTGCTGGTTCATATAGCAAACACATGTACAACTTTTATAAGACTCTGCCAAGTTGTTAAAGTGTCTATACCATTTTGCAAATCAGCTGAAAAACATAAATTTTCCAATTAGTCTTGACCACGTACCGTATCATCATCTTAGAATTTTTAGCATTTCTAATGTGTATAGCAGTGCTACATAGTGGCTTTAATTTGCATTTCCCTGACGATGGCTTTCAATATTTTTCATGTCATTGATGGTCATTTCTCTCTCTTTTGTTAAGTACATGCTTAAATCTTTTGCTCACTCTGAGACTTAGGTGATCAGGGCCCTGCTACCATAAGCTGCACCTCACAGCATACCAGCAAGGAAAGAAGCCGCTACCTTTCACAGCAAAGAGACTGATCCCCACAGCCTGGAGTGGGTGGTGGAAATCATGCCTGGTGTTCTGTAGTGCCAGCAGAACAGCAGAAGGATCCCATTTCTCTGAAGAGAGTTTGAGGTGGCAGTAGTGGACTGGATGGGTTAGGAGGACCAGTTGTACCACTCGAAGCCTACATAAGAAAAAATACAAGACAAATACATAGTGCTTTTTGATCTAGGAGTGTCTGAGTATGTTCTACCACCAAATCCAAACCCTTGACAAGCTAGTGACTGCTAATCCGTTTGACAGCAACTGTAATACAGCATAAGTGAAAAGTAGAAGAAGTGGGACAAAAACAAGATCCAGGAGAATACTCATTGCAACACCAGGTGACACACATTGTTTCTGACCAGGCAGAACCCCTCAGCTCCTAATGTAGGTAATTCTAAAGGCTCTTCCAATCCATAAACATAATTTTTCATACATGTGTGTTCAGATTACTGCTCTGGAGTAGCCTCATGAGCTATGGGTTAATGACACTTTTTCTTTCTTTCCTGATGTGCAGCCTGCCAATATAGCATGTGGATATGTTCTTCTAAAGTATTTCAGAAATCCTTCTCTAAGAATCCATGGAATCTGTCCCCATGAAAAACATACAGGATTTGAAAAGGGTTGTTTTATTTTTCACATTTGCATCTAGTAAAGAACTTAAGTTTCCTATAGCTCTTTCATATCCTTCTCTAGAATCAAATTGGAATTAACCCAAAGCATGATAAAGTCACAAAACTCCTATGTATTTAACAAATAAGGCTTGGAACATCTGACACATAAAACTTCCACACTGAGGAAAGGAGCTTTGTGAGGAGCAGTGATGTAATTTCTGGTGCAAAATCCACATGAGTGCTTTTTGATCTAGGAGTGGTGATGTTACCTGGAAACAATTCCCAGACCTCCTAAAATGACACGCTGCTTCTCAGCAGTGAGAAGGCACTGTCCTCCTGCCAAATGGCTCTGTGAGTGCATCCTCTGAAAAATGTTGGCCTTGTTTCCTCCTCCAGCACAGGTGCCACACCCTGCAGACTCTAGGGTACTGTTTTTGTAAAAACTTCAGTTGAGGTATAACTCTCAAATTAAATTTGTATAACCTTAAGGTACAAAATTTGATGTTTTGACATATATGCACTGTGAAATGATTCCCATAAACAAAGTAACTAACTTACTTTCAACTCACAGTCACCATTTTCTTCTGAATGTACGTGTATGTGGGGGGATGAGAATACCCAAGATTTACCCCCTTAGCAAATTTCAAACAACCCATATTAACTATATGCACCATGCTATACATTACATCTTTAAAAATTTTCCACCCTGTATAACACATTTTTATACATTTTAACCAAAATTACCCCTTTCCCCCCTCTCTCTTCCTGACACCTACCTTTGACTCTGTTTCTATGAGTTTGATTACTTTAGATTCCACACAGAAGTGAGCTCAAGAAGTCTTTTTTTCTGTGTCTGCTGTTCTCACAAGCTGATCTCCTCAGGGATCCATGCAGTTACAAAGGATATGGTTTTGTTCTTGAATCCTGAATAATATTATGCATAAATGGAGTTTACATTCTATTCTCATGTGTAACTGATATGAACAAATAAAAAATGTAACAATCAAAAACAAAGCCCAGGCTAGAGTTATGGCTTAGTTCTTGCCTCGCATGTGTAAGGCAGTGGGTTCAATAACCAGCACTACATAAAAATAAGTAAAATAAAGGCATTGTGTCCATCTAAAAGTATTTTTTCTAAAAAAGACTGAATAATAACCAGGTGCAGTTGCACACATTGTATAATCCCAATGGCTCAGGAGGCCAAGGTAGTAAGATTTTGAGTTCAAAGCCACCCTCAGCAACTTAGCAAGGTACTAAGCAATTAATCTCAATTTAACAATAAGAGATAGGAAGGATAGTAGAATGAAACAGAAATTATTATTACTGTGTGTATATATGTAAATGCATGACCAATGTGATTCTGCAACCTGTATACTCAGAAAAATGAGATATTATATCCCATCTGATTCAAATGTATGATATGTCAAGGTCATTGTACTGTCATGTGTAACTAAGTAAAACAAATAAAAAAAATAAGAGCTGGAGATGTGCTCAGTATTTAAGCACCCCTGGGTTCAATCTCCAGTACCCAAAATGAAAAGACTGAATAATATTCTCATATTCATTCCCCCCAACACATATTTTTTATTCATCCCTCAACAGATCATCAGATACTTAAGTTGTTTCCATACACTGGCTAGTGTGAATAACGCTGCACAAATGTGGGGTTCCTAGATCAATCATGTGGCAGTTCTACTTTAAAGTTTTTGATGAAAATCCATACTGTTTTCATAATGCCTTAGTAACTTTTGTATGAGGGGAATGTGCCAGGGCACATTACTTTATTTGAAGTCTTTATTCTTTCTTTTTGTTGCTGTTAATAGGACACAAATAACAACCAGGCTATAGATCCTGAATACAGAAGTTCCTTTGATTTCTCTTCATGTATAGTCTAGTCTACTGTAAATCCTAGTTTAAGAAAACAAGCATGTATTTACCAGTTTGGGATTCGTTCACGTAAATGTTTAACATGTTTTAATATTTTTATTGTGAAATATAGTAAGAAAATTATTCATATATATCTATGCAATTCACACTTCTAAAGTTACAACAGATCTTTCCTTTTCTCTTTATATATTAACGTCTAAAGTCTATTTCTATTCATACATATATCTATCTACATAGAAACAAATAAAACTAGGTCTGAAAAGGAAGTCAGATTTCAGACACACTGTGTCTAAGAAGTCCATGTGAGGCTTTAAGAACAAAAGCACAGAGCTGGTGATGTGGCTAGGTGGTGGAGTGCTTATCTACCAAATTTTTGGCCCTAGATTCCATCACCAGCACCACCAAAAATAAAATCAAAAAACAGATTTAGTGTTGCTAAATGCTTAAGGTTTACTAATGTTCCTCCTATTCAAGACAGTTTTTGAACCTTAATTTTTAATCTCTGCTTACATTTTGACCCATTTCCCAGGTTTCATCTTGGGAAACCAAAGTTTTGGTGGTGAGTTGGAAGAGAGTTGAGCCCTGACTTATCTACAGTTGGCAGATTCATCACAAAAATACTAGATTCTGCAGTCAGAATGCTGTAGTGTCTTTGAGGGTCACAAATCTCTGTGACCTTGGGGTCACCTGAAGCAACTGGGGAAACTCTGCCTCATGCAAGAGATCTGAGTATGTAAGCAAGCCAAACACAATGTGGAAAAGGAAGAGGTTTATGATACTTCTTCTCTAAATACTCAAGTTGGAATAACCCTCCATCAGCTCTCTGCTGTCACAGATCCAAGCCCTGGCCAAGCCCTCATGATGAACCTCAGCTCAGGAAGCTCATTCCCTGCTGAGGCAAGGAGGAGGCCAAGGGGTATGCTGGGTTCTTCTCAACTGCACCTTACTATTTCAAGTTACCTTTTTCTGGAAGCCCCTGTTCTGGCCTTACCTGCCACTTGTGTTCTGTGAGACTTCTAACAACTCATGAGATTTCCACTGCTAACTTACCCCAGGAGCTGGATGGCTTCAGTCCACTCCCAGACTGGCATCTTTGGGGCATTATCAAGAAGCTACAAGTCTTGAACGTCTGAGGACTGAAGGTGTCTCACTGTTGCAGCTCTGAAAAAGAATGGGAGGAAACTGGCTTTGGACTCCTCTACTTTCAGAGTCATGCACAGCTGCTTCCTTACTGATCCACTGGACTTGGGAACTCTGATGGCTTACTGACCAAAACAAAAAACAGATTTAGTGTTGCTAAATGTTTACTAATATTCCTTCTATTCAAGACAGTATTGGGGGCTGGGATTGTAGCTTAGTGGTTGAGTGCTTGCTTTGTATGCATGATGCACTGGGTTCGATCCTCATCACTAGATAAAATAAAGAAATAAAACAAAGATACTGTGTCCACCTATGACTAAAAAAAAGAAAATTAATAAAAAAGTATTTAACCTTAATTTTTAACCTCTGCTTACATTTTGACCCATATCTCGGGTTTCATCTTGGGATATTCATGGTTATTATTTTTTGATCATTTATCCTTCTCCTGTTTGGTAGTATTCATGATCCTTATAATTGAAAAACATGTATTGCTATGGTGAAGTACATAACAGTTTAGAAGTGGGTAAGTTAAATTCATAACAGACCTGATCATAATTCATCCTTCCTCAGTCCCTGTTGGAAAAATGTGCTGTGACAGAATCTCTCAAGTAGTATACCAGGTAAAAAGGTTCTGAATTATCATAAATAATAATTAGTAACAGAAATTGTATAATGGAAGTGAGATACTGAGGAGTAAATGTCACTCCTGCATGGTCTTGTGCTTGTAGCTGTTAGAGATCAAAGTCTTCTTACTATAACTCATAGGACATCTACACCTTGCATCAAAATCTGTTAATTCGAATTTTGTTACTTCACATTCCCAACTTATTTTATCATGAAGCAAAGTTAATTTGCATCTCATAGTGTATTAAATGTTTCAGTACCTTATGATTTAGATTTTAAGTGTCCCCCACAAGCTCATGCGTGAGATAATACAAGAACGTTTTCAGGAGAAATGAGTGGGTTATGACAGCCTTAAACCAATCAGTGCATCAATCCCATCACAGTCATTAACAGGGTGGTCACTAACCCTACAACAGGCAGGTAGGATGTGCCTGGAAGAGATGCGTCATGGGGAGGAGCATGCCTTTGGTAAACATTTTGTGAGCTGAGCTTATTCGCTCTATGCTTCCTGATCATGTCCTGAGATACTTTTCTCAACCACTCTCTTCCAACATGATGTTCTGCCTCACGTTAAACCCCAGAGAAAGAAAGGCAACCTTCTATGGAGTGAAACCTCTGAAACCGTGACCACTCCCACCCAAAATTTTTTCCTCCTTTAATTTTTCATGTCATGTCTTTTAGTCATAGCAATGAAAAGCCTAAAATGCACCAGTTCCCTCTTATCAAAGATTTCACTTTTCCATGAGTGTACAATATGTTAAAATATAATCTACTGTCATATATATCTAAGATCACTTTCTATTCTTTCACTTATTCATGAATTACCTATGTAATTCAAGATTGTAGAAATAAACAATGTATACATTTTAAACTGCTCACTATTCTGAACAGAATGATGAAATCAGGCAATATCACTCTCTGTCCTGACCATAAAGTGAATCATACCTTTGTCCAATGGATTCATGCTCTATAGGCTACCCACCCATCAGTACCTTGACAACCATCAGGCCATGGGATAAACTGGGGGGAATTGCACTGCTTGTAGATAGGGGTCAGTACTACCTAGTTTCAGGCATCCACTGAGGATGTTGGAACAAATCCTCCAGGATAAGGGGTGACTGTGTTCCTAAAATTAACAATGACCTCTTCAAACTTTAATTAGCATTTGAAGTCTTTCTTTTGGAATCAAAACAATATTGGAACATGACTTTCTTAGAGGAAATTTCTTTTTCATAGGTTTCTCTGATACCTCTCAGCTGTGGAGACACAGGGTTATCTCATTTCTACTTTTCCACATAAATCACTTCTTCTGCTGGGTATCCTGACTCTGTCTGCCTTTTGCCCCATTCTCAACTCTGTGGAGAAGGGCATTCACTCACATCTCTCCCTCTTCCTGATGAGCTGCATACCACACTGGAATGTCTCCTTCAGTTCACTGTCCATGACCCCAGAAGATGGTTCCAGCATTGGTTCTGACTTTCATCCTAGGCATAATGTGATTGAGATTCACACCTGTGTTCATCAGAGGACAGCAGAAAGATAATTGTCAGAGTTTTTGTGTTCATGCTCAGATCTCTGCTCTATGGGATTCTACTGGCATGTTTTAGTGACTGCAGGTGCAAGGAAATCACTTGATCTGGCAGAGATTTACAGGATGGAGAGTGCTCAGGGATTATGAGAGGCTGGGATTTACCCAACTGTGTGGCACCAGGAGACAGTCACTGTAATCAAAACATGTTTCCCCCAAATTAACAACACTGATCCATGCTCATATACATGAAATATATATTAAACATCTGAAATATATATTAAATCCCATCTAATTGTATGGAATAACATTAGACATATCAACTGAAGAAATTCCCTACACCAAAATCGATTCCTTCTTTGGGCAAATAAATTAGTAATTTCTACAATTCATCAACATGGGCTGGTATTTGGGGGGAAAAGTAGAGGAAGTCAAATAGACTTTCCAATAACAACAAAATAATTTCCAAAAAATAAATCTGCATTCCATATTAGAAGGCTTTTGCTAACAAGAAAAGAAAGTAACTTCAAGAATGTTTGAAGAACTGTTATAATACATAAATATACTTTCCAAATTAGAAAATGAACAAAGACAAATGTAAATAAAATTTAATAATGTAGGATCCAAGGATGAAAGTTCCAATTATTTAGGGAGATAAACATGATTTTTCTTTTTTCAAATTTCTTCTATTTAGTTATACATGACAGCAGAATGCATTTCAATTCATTGTATACAATAGAGCGCAATTTTTCATATCTCTGGTTGTCCAAAATGTAGAGTCATACCATATGTTCAATCATACATGTACCTAGGGTAATGATGGGAGAGGATGGGGCATGGGAGCAGGAAAAATGATGAAATAGATAAACATAATTTTTAAATTTTTTTTCAGTTATCCATAGACCCAATAACTTTATTTATTTACTAATTTATTTATTTATTTTTAATGTGGTGCAAGGATAGAACCCAGTGCCTCACACATGCTAGGTAAGCATTCTATCTCTGAGCCACAACCACAGCCAACAATTTTTGGTTTTGCATATACCAAATTTTTAAAGAATGTTACAGGCATCCTAATTTCCCCCACTGTATTGGATATATACAAAATTGAAGTATCTTCAAATATGAATAAAAAAAGAAAAAAATTGGTTCAAAAAAATCTCATGCAAAAAAAACTCCACCACTGGATTTTGTATTACATTCTAAACACACGTCATATGAATGGCCTTTATCGCCATAAAATATCAATAGTTGTTATTAAAGTATCACCATCATTTTGGGAATCTTCTAAAAGTGATTGACAAATTTTGCTTAGTACAATAACTTCCACACTTGGAAGTCATTCTGACATATTACTTTTGAGCACCACCAGTCACAGCAGTGTCCTGAGAAAGATGCTTTTTACCCAGTGCCAATTAATATAAAATTATTTAAAGTCATCACAGGGTCATGAGCAATTGTCAAACATGACAATTCTCTCCATTGAAAAGGAGAAGAACTAATAAGTATCCTTTTAAAATATATTATTTGCTTTCATAAAAGCCAGGAAAGTAAAATTGTATTGAATTGTAGTTTTGATATAAACGCAATATTGAAACAAAAAATGTCATGAGTTTTACTTGACCCCCTTTAAATTCGCCACTTGTTTTTCAACTGCTTTCACCTGGGGGACGTGATTAAACACTAATTAATTATAAAAATATGTGGGTCACCACCCACTGACACTTCCCCCTGGCCTTCCTCACCCCTGGCCCTGGAAAGTCCTATGTCCTCAGCTCATCAGATACAGCTAGGAGAATAGGTCCATTCTGTCCCCAATTGTAGGCATCCCTTTCTCTGTGTGTGTCCTGACAATTTTTCCCGCAAAACCACCTGTGTCTGCACAAAACCTCACCTCCCTCCTCTGCTACTATGAGCCTCCACCTGCAATAAATGGGCCATTTTGTCCAAGTCCTGCTGAAATACAGTGTGAGGAAGGAAAGAGCAAACCTTTGGGAATGGCCTACTTAAGACAACATCCACGAGCAGCGGCAAACAAAAGCACCTTCCTGAGGCATCAGAGCCTCCAGCAGACCTTCTACCCGGCATAAATGAGGCTCCTGCTCCACCCAAGTGGAAGACAAGCTTCCAGGGCTGGGTTCTGAGGAAACCAGGCCCAGGCTCCACAGGCCTGTGCACCACCTGGGGCAGAAAGCAGGATTCGGTGCCCTCTAGTGGCCCTAAGAGCTCAGGACATTGTGCAGGGTGACCTTGTGCTCTAGTAGCCTCCTGCTGATTCACTGGCAGAAAATTGGACCTTTTCATCTAAATTATTCACTGTCCTCTACTGGGATGCCTTTTCTTTCTGTTAGGCAGAATGACCTCATGTTCAAATCTTATATTTTGAGTCTTGTCTTTTTTTCTTGTTGTTACTACAGGTTGGTTAATTTTGCCTATCTTTTCAAAAAATCAAAGTTGTGTTTTATGGATTCTATCAATGTTTTCCTAGTCTCTATTTCATTATTTCTTTTCTTTTCTTTTCAGTACCAGGGATTAAACCTAGGGGTACTTGACAACTGAGACACATCCCCATCCCTTTTTTTATATTTTTATTTAGAGACAGGGTCTTGCTAAATTGCTTAAGACCTCGCTAAATTGCTGAGGGTGGCTTTGAACCCACAATCCTTCTGCCTCAGTCCCCCAAGCTCCTGGGATTACAAGCGTATGCCACTGCACCTGGACATTATTCCCAGTTTTAATCTTTATTATTTTCTTCCTTCTTCTAAGATAGTATTTAGTTTGTAGTTTTTCTATGTCATAATCTTTAATTGGATTACTGTCATGAAGAAAATGCAGAGTCCAACAATCAAAGGTAAAGATGCACAATATC